TAGTACTTTCTTTCAATCAGGCAGTCAACTTATTTCATCCTCCGATCAACCTTACAAATGAAGGTATTATTATTATTATTATTATTATTATTATTATTATTACCTTGACTGTTTCCATCCACCGTGGCTGTTTGACTTGATAGTACACGACAGACCGATATTCATTCATGGGCTTGTCCCCTGCTCCCACACAAATTGCATTCTGACTCAAGAAAAACAAAGAGAGAAAACACTGCAGAATTGCCAATTTCTGCACTTGGGCAATTTTGGTCCTAGGACCAAGGCTGACCTGAGGGCCCAGGGGAAACCCGGCCTTCCCCAACCCCTCTGCCAGGAACCCATCATGGCCCTTTACATTATAGATTCAGGCATGAACATCTCCCGCCCTGAGAGTGACAGCTGCTTAATCACAGAAATTCTATTACTTGCATTCTGGAAACCACTGGAGTGCGCCAGGCGCTGATGTGGCTTCCTTATTATAAATGGTAACGAGTCCTGGAGTTATTGCACGCTGCCAGTCTTATTAATCCTATTTGTTTCCTAAATCTGAATGTGCACAAAGTTTACAAACAGGCTCAGATCAGTCAAGCAGCTTGTTCTGATGGATTTCTGATGCTAACACACCAAAGCACCAGTGGGAGTTGGGAAAGGGGAGGAAGGAGCTCAGGCTTCAGACACACTGGCAGAGGGGCCAGAGGGAATCCACAGTTCCCAAGTATTTTCTGGGTATCAGGCCTGTGCTCAGCTCTGAGACATGGGCATGAGTCAGATATTAAACCTGACAGGAGGGTTCACAGTTTGGTGGAGGGTTCATTAGATAAGCAGACAAATCACTAAGCAATGCAATGTGATGACAGATATATGCATTTTCTACTATGGGCACAGAGAAGGGACACTTAAATTTAGGTTGAGGATTCAGGGAAGATTCTTGGAGGCAATGACAGTTGAGGATCTTGAAGAAGATTCCCAGTTGGCTCTGAGCAGAAATGTGGGAAGAACCTTCTGAGCAGAGTGAGCACAGAGCAAGGATACCTGTATAGATTATTTATTCTCTGCCATAAAAATCACCCTCCAAGTAACAAGGAAATACCTTCTAATAGAGTATGCCAGCCCCTAATTCTCTCTGTTCATTCCAGCTGTTTGGCCTCCAAAAAAGATCTTAGCTAGGATCACCCAGAAGGGGCCCAAGTGTGGTTTTTATACAAGACCAGCAAATTTTTACCTCAAGTCTATGGGGTATTAGTATGGAGATAGTATATTAGTATGGGGATGTGAGGATTGGTTTCGTAGCTCCAAGCCCCCATATTGCAAAAACGTGTGCTTCTGGGCATTTTATGGTGAGAGAGTCCATGCCTCTCACCAGATTCCATTATTCTCCAGTGGATTCTTGGTCCATTCCCATCTGGTTCAATGACCAAAGCTGGACACATGCAAGGTCTCTGGGACCACTGGTGAACCAAGTTAACCCATGGGAAGGAGAATCCTGCCCCTCTTATTGGAAAACTCTCTCTTCACTTCTGAGCTTAAGGGAAAGAATGAGCTCAGTTTAACATTCACGGATGGTACTTGCAGCTAAATTGAATCCATTTGATAATAAAGTTATAACATCCTTTTAGAACTTATCTTTAAAAAAAAAAACTAGTAAACTGGAAATGAGGAAAAAGATGCAACTCTCCTGATTTTTACTGGGATGAAGACTTTCAGAAATTCTTGAGGCAGTGAACTAAAAACGCTTCCAAGTTTTTTCTAACCATTCTTGGTGTGCCTCGTGTCTAGCATTATGTTAACCCTTTATACACACTACCTACCTGACTCAATTCAATCCTCCTAACTGCCTCTGATGATTACCTTCATTATCCCCACTTCACAGCTAAGTAAACTGAGGCTCTGAAAGGTTTAGTCACTCGTCCCAAAAGTAGCAGAGCTGTAACGACATCTCAGACTCTCTATACTTTGTCCAGTGTTCCTTCTAGAACAACCTAGATGTCTTCCAGCCTCCCAAGATTTATATCTAGTGACATTTATGGGCTTAGAGTTTCTGTAGCTCCAGAGAATCCCATCTAGCTTATAAAATCTGAAAATACGCATCTATCTCTAGTGAAAGTAAAATTGCTGTATGGCAGACAACTGAATCTCAAAAAACTGTTCTGATGATGAAAATTTTTGATTGCCTAAGGCTGGAGAAAAAAATCTCAGTATTATTCTGAGAAAGGCCTAAGACCCTCAATACTTCAGAGATAAACTGAACGCTGCCAAGTATGTTGAGAGCATCGTGACCAGAAACCGAGCCAAGTCTTAGGGAAAATATAGATCTGTATCTGTTCCCAGTATGCCTACTCATTTTCCCCATTGCCCACCTCCTTGGACCCCAATTTACAGTAGGAGCTCCTCGTTGGCTTCTGTTCACCTGGGAGCAGAAATCCAAAAGCCTGAAGGCTTTGCTGACTTGGCCTTGGCAAACCACTCCATCAAGAATAAAGTCAGGCTCCTAACACAGGCCTTGTTTACCTCAAAGGAATTACTTGAGGAACAAATAACACCATGGATGTCAATGCACTTTGAGAGCCAGAGGGTGTTTTACACCCACAGGGCTGCATGATGGGACGGCCAATCAGCAACCACAAGGCTTCTACCTGGAATCAGGCCTGGAGACAACTATACCTCTCTAGTAAAGATGGTTAACCTAACCGTAATGAACACCTATTATGTCAATGAATTCATTTGATATTCACAAGATTAAGGTGCCACTGCTGGTATCATTTTCAGACACAGAATCTTAGGCATAGAAAGATTATGGTACTTGCTCAAGGTCATTCTGCTAACCCGGACAAAGCTGGACTTTGAACCTGGCTGCCTGGCCCCAGAACTCATGGTCATAACCACTATACCACACTGTTTTCCATGTCCTGCCTCCACCCCCTTAAGCTAGCTGGTCTCAGAAGAACAGAGATTGCTCAGCCTGGAATCTCAGCCTTTTTGCTTCTCCTTAAACTTGTGTCAGACATCCACATTGCTCGTTTGACCCCTTTGATTCCTGCCGAGGGCTTCACCCTGCAGTTGGTCCACCTTCTCTGATTGTTCCCCTCCTTCCAGTTACCAAGTATTTACTGTGTACCAGGTACCTTTGACCTAGCATTTTGTTTAAACTGCAACTTCATGAGGAAGAGGAGGAAGAGATTATTATTCCTCTTTTATAGATACACTTGCCCAAGATCACACAGCTAATAGGAGGAGAGGCTGGGATCTGAACCGTGTTTGATCCCAGAGGGAAATATCTCTGCTATGGCCCCTCCTGAGCAAGGTCGTTCAGACCCCCGAGTGAGCGGAGGAAAAGTGTAACCTACGCTATCCTCTGGCCCACGTGGGCAGTGTGCATCTCAGCAGGTGGAGGAATCAGTGTCCCCAAAGGGGACTGTTCCCACAGGAGCCCACAGCATCAAACAAGAGTGTTTGAGTATGCTGTCTGACACTTAATTAGGTAGCAATATTTATTTCTGCAAAGAGAAAGAAAAGCCTCCCACAGGCTTCCTTAGCAATTTTCAATAGTCAACTGAACTCCCCCATAACTTCCCTAATAGATAAAACTGCAAATTATTGCTGCGACCCACAGTTACCTCTTCATTTCAGCCCCCAGCATACCTGCTTATACATTCATCTGTGATACGTGCATCTGTCTAGCCTGGTTGGGTGTGACTCAAAAAGGTAGCCGAAGTGGAAGTAAAAATGATTCAGAAACAAGAACTGTCCCTTCTAGTTTGTCCTCTGGGAACATTGAAGGGAAGCATATCAGTGTTTCAAAACATGAAGCTGAGGTTTAAAAGTTTTCCAATAGGTAGCTGGATAAAAATAACTTTAAAGCAACAGACTATACGTTCATGAAATACAATTTCCCTTTCAGATAAAAAGCATCTATTCTTCCTTTATGTACCTTTGAGTGAAGAATCTCTCATTTATTTTTTAGAAGTTTCAGAATCTAACAAAAAGAGGAGGAGTGAAGTGCTTGGATTTGCTCAACTAGATGTTAATTAATGGGGCCAGTATTTATGAACAAAAAGGTAATTGCAAGGATTTCTTTAAATTAAAAAAAGATTATGTATCTTCCCAGAATTTAATAGAATTGGTTATTAGCCTCATTTTTAAAATGAAAAATAAACTGCATAATTTTTTAAATGTATAGGCATGACAGTGAAGTGTTTAAGAGGGCCAGAAACCTGAACTCAACCCCAACCTCTGCCATATACTAACTTTGTGACCTTGGGAAAGTTGTTTCTCTTGACAGAGGTTTAGTTTCCCCCTCTGTAAAAATAGGGATAACAGTAACGCATCATACTTATCCTGGTGCCTGGCACATTGTAATTCCTCTATTAACACTAGTCGTTCTTAGGTAGAGGAAAGCCAAACCTGCTTGAGCTCCAGGCCCCAAGGCTAGAGCAGATGACTTGTTGATACTCACATCCCCACCCTACTGTGCTATCTGATTACCTACTGTGGCCTAAGAGGAATATTTGCCCACGCTAAAGCTTCTGCTGAGAGTGATTTTATTTTCAGCTAAGTACTCTGAAAAGAGAAATTGAGAGGCAAAACACTCCCACACACTGGACACAACTGCTGACAACCTTAAAGGAAATATAAGTAAATAAATGTAAACACACATGACAAATATTGTACAGGACATATGCTGTATAAATATTTATAGCAATGTGCTTTGCATTCTTGAATACACTCTGCCAGCCCTCTGGAGACCAATTTACGAATAAGGCTTTCCACCAGAATTTCAGGCTGAGCGCTGGGGAGTTAGAGTTAGTATTGGGAATGTCTGTTTTGAGGACATCCTGAGTCTCCACCAGCCCAAGGCTCTGTATTGATCCTTTTTCTTACCATGAATTTTGCCTGAAAAAAAAAACCAGCTCAGGCTTCAATGAGAACAACTTTTTAACTGTAAAAAGCTAACCTATAAGGTGAGCCAAGCCAAAAAAAGAAAGAAAAAAGAAGAAAGGAAAGGAACAGATATTGAAAAACTGCTTTGGTGTAAAGAAATAACAACAAGAAGTCTTATGATGGATTCTTGTGCTAACCAAGCTCTAAAGGTGCAGAACACGTTGCTCGACACCATCCGGAAGGCAGTGGCATTTAGAGAGCAGAATGGCGAGTGGGAAGAGCAAGCCCTCATGAGCAGAGGCACCCAAGGGGGCCTCATCACCTAGAGCAACGGCAGGGCTCCTTACAGACAACGTTTTGCCATCCTCCGCGCACACACACATGATCACTTCCACGTTCCTCTGCGTGGTCTTGTTGTACTTGTCGAAGTCGCCTTGTAGCAGAGTGATGTAGATGTCATTCCTCACGTCCCCTGAGGCAGAGGGAGAGAAAGACAAGAGTTGGAGTCGATGCAGGAGGAGAGACACTGACTAGAAGGCAAAGAGAGTGAGGGAGGGAGTGAAAGTGGCCCACCTTGATGTCTATTAATAAAATTACAGTCAGAACTGCTTAGAAGAGCACTTCGCCTCATCAGGGAGGCTGGAGAAGTAGGTAACAAGGGGATGGAGAAATGCTAGGATATCAGTTGCAAAAGAGGGAGGTAGGACGGTCAAAATTGGCCACGTATGTCTCTCCATTAAAATCATTTAATCTTCATCCTCTAGTGACACCTTCTGGGAAGGCACAGGAAAGCTCCGATTGAACTGATCTTGGCCCATGGATAACAACGATGAACACAAACAGATCTTCTGCTGTGTGGAAGCAAGAAGAGTGACTTCCGTGTGTCCAAGGAACATGGGGTCAGGGAAGAGGTGCAAAAGTGTCTTCGAGAATGGGGTCAAGAACAATTGAAAATCCCGTGGGGAATGCACAAAGAATTGATGTCTCAGAGAAAGCGAGCATAAAGAAATTACAATGCGGGCCTCCAGTGGGCCCTCATACAAGAGGCTTGGAAAGAAGGGAGAAATCAGCGAGAGCAGTTGTGGACACAAGTCCAAGACACTGGTTTAAGATGAAAAGGGAAGTTTCGAGAGAGTGTTATACACATATGGAAAATGTTAATAGTACTGGTTACTTCTGCAGACAAAGATTTGGGGGACCTTTTAATGTTTCACTTTATACCTTTTCAAGCGATTTGAACATTTTATAATGAGCATGGAATCTTTTGGTAATTAAAAAATAGTTTAAAAATTTAATGACAATATTCTCCCCCAAAGAATGGAACTATTCTATATGTAGCAGAAAGGATGTCCATGATAAATTATTGAGTGATGAAGCTATAAATTAATAATATATAAAGCATATCAAGTGTGATTCCATTTGTGGGAGAAAAACTACTTGTGTATATTTATATATTTGTGTTTGTTACGTGAATGCATAGAAGATTTCTGTAGATGCAAAAACTATTTACAGTGATTACCTTCAGGGAGAGTTATAGAAAGGCAGTAGAAAAAGGAGTTGACTCTTTAAAAAGAAAATAGATCTGACAAGCTGGACCACCTCCCACCCTGGGGCAAGGCCAGACCTGGCATGATGATCTCCGGGAAGCCCAGCTTCCTGGCCACTACGGTGGTCCTGTCAACCAGGTGTGGATAGTCCTTGCGGATCTGAATGATGTCACCCACGAGCATCTTCATGGTCACCCAGAGGCCTGGAAGGGAAGGCTCACCGTGAAGAGCTAACCTCTGCAAGGTGCTCTCAGTCTCACCCTCCTATGACCTCTCCCTCGGTCTCTTTCTGAAGGAGACCACTGGAAGCAGAGACAAACAACTATAGATGCAGTGACTGGTCCCAGGGGAGGAAGGCAGGTGGAAAGTAGAGGGGCTCTGGAACCAGACATCTCTGGGTTGAATCCCACCAGTTACTTCTAGCAGTGTGAGCTTCTGTCGAATGATCCCAGCTTTCTAAGCCCAGCCTTTGTAAAGTAGGGTGGATAGCATCTATCTCATAGGACTGTGGGAAGGATGAAATCAAATAAGAAAATATACTGAAGTGCCTAAAACATAGAAAACAGTCAGGGTCTATCAGTTCCTCTCTTCCTTTGGGTACTAGGATGTGCTCCCAGTTTCAGGAGATGTGGTTTCCATTTCTATAGATCATATGCTCCTATTCTTTTGCAATGGCCTGTCTGGAAGGAAGGTTGTGTTTCCCAGGGTTCGAGATTTTGATACGGTTGCTGAAGAATCAAGGGCTCCCCAAGCCAGAGTCAGACCCAGCCTGCTTTATGCATTGGCACTGTACCTTGTCCTCCGCTGTCTCCCTTGAAGGCTGTGACTTTGCCAAGCAGGCTGTGTAGGAAGTCATTCTCAGCTGTCACTCTGGAAAGGAAAAGAGCACAAAATGCTCATGTGATGCCCTCATGAGGTTCCCAACTTGTGGTTTCACATATTCCACAAAGCTGCCCAGCCCTTCCCACACCGTTGGTGAAAAGTAGCCAGCCTATGATAGCTCAGAGAGCACATATGACATCAAGAAGCATATCTCTCCCTTTCACAAAGCAACGTGGCTCTGAAACTTAGGAACACCAATGAATGCTATCAGTAGAGGCCATTTTTTATTCCTAGGAAGACTCTTAAAAAGGAAGGAATCCCAAGCCTTCAAAAGGAATATCAACTCAGCAAGGTGGCAAAGGCTTCACCTGTCCTGCTAAGTCTCAGTTACACACTTTAACCAGTCACTGGCCTCACTACCTGTCACGAAACACCATTCTCCTTGGCCCTGCCTTGGGGCATCAAAGTAAGGACAACATCCTCAAACCGAGGGTCCTGCTTTCTCAAAGACAACTTTTTAGAGCAGAGAAAGGACATTCACCTTCCTCAGGACCCTCCTCTTCAGTCATGGACATTTTTACCCGTGAGAACTGGGTTAGAACTCCCTTATAAATTCCTGATATGCTGCTGCTGTTTCACAGCTTTGTAGTTCCCCTCCTACCTGTAATCATTAATTATTCCTTTTGAACGCTTGGGATTCCATCCTTTTTAAGAGTCTTCCTAGCATTAATCTTTTACTGATTATCTGTTTAATTCCCCATATAAGTAGAGGCTCCATGAAGAAAAGGCCATGTCTACCTTGATCAGTGCCCAGCCCAGTGCCCAGCCCTCTGCCAGCCTTCAATCCACGTCTGTGGAATAAATAACACTTGATGAATGAGTGGGTGAAAAACTGCCCTGTCACTGAGACCGTCATTCTCATCCTGCCTTCCTCTTGGGAGGCCCCACCTGGATGTCACCAACTAAGGAAACCAGTTCACCCCGTTCTGAGTGGTCCTCAATGAGAAAGGGTGAGGCTTAAGAGAAATGGAAAGAAACGGGAAATCACTCACGGGTGAAAAGGGATGAAGTGCTGCTTTTCTTCATCACTCTCTGCTTTCCCCTTGATGATATCTGTTATATCCATAACTAGACAAAGAAGAGAAATGAATGAATAGTTTAAGCCCTCCTGCACCCAGGATGGGATGACAATAGGGTGAGATTGTAGGGCAGGGGGTTTGGATCAGGAAAGTCTAAGAAGGCGAGCAAGCCAGTGTCGGGTGATACACAGACCATGAGTGTTCATATCATGTGGCACCTGGCAAACTCTGGGCAAAGTGGGTGGGGGGCAGGGGGGAAGGCAGCAAGCCACAGAACCATCCAAGAATCCATGGTTTATCAACAGTCAAGAGGAAAGAGTTAATTCCATGAAGAAAAGGCCATGTCTACCTTGTTCAGTGCCCAGCCCAGTGCCCAGCCCTCTGCCAGCCTTCAATTGCTTAATGGAATTAAGCAATTAAGTATGGATTTGACATATATGTATTGCATGTCTACTGTGCCTACAAAACATGAGAGTAGTGACTCTCTGTGGGATCTGAGAATCTAATGAAATCTATTCACCCCATTTTCATAAATGTGCTCATATGCACAGACACATAACTGAAAGAGCCCTGAACTCTGCAATTCCAATGGGATCCTGGATCCTCTGAAACTTCTCCTCAAATCAGTCACCAAAGATCCATAAAGCCAAGGTGAAGAATTTCTGCATTAGAGCAGGGATTATAGAAATGGTAGGAGTGAGGGTGGGAGAAACTGAGAAAAGCTAGTCAAATAGAAAACAAAAAAGGTAACAATATGAAATACCTCAAACGCTCCAGGTCCTGGACTGGGAGCCACTAAAATTGCTTGGATAATAATCAAACAGTGACTGAATCTAGCTCAAGAGGGGAGTTAGGGAGCTGAGAAAAGGAGCGGAAGCTTATTTGAACCTGCCCAGCATTGATTCTCTCTGATTAACAGACCACCCCCGCCGATTCTCAGTGGCCACGGTTTGGGTGCAGCAGTCTCCATCTGACTCCAGAGTTGTTCATATGACCTGGGTGATCAGAAGACCACATCTTCCTGCCTGGAGCAAGTGCTTTTGGGATGAGCACATGACCTACATTTAAGCTCCTGGGGCTTCTGCTGAAACTAACAGGGAAGAGGTGCTCTCTTGCCCCTGGATTGCTAAACTGGTAGGATGCAAGCTTGGAACAGCCTGACAATATTTTGCCAACTAATTGGACAGCCATCTTCAGAATAAGCCAGCAAGACGACATAGGAGCTGAGAGATAGAGAGATGTAAATTTATTTGAGTTCCTAGATCCACTATGCTTGAAGCAATCTATCTGTGAACCTTTCAGTTATATCAGTTGCTGTCGCCTGAAACCAAGAGAGAGGGCAGACTACAGCTGGGGACAAAAGCACACTGTGAGGCAAGATTGAAGGACCTTCACTGAACAGGGACATTGTGACGTCAGGATTGTCTCTCATATAGAATCAGAGCATTTTAGAGCAGGTCACAGACCAACCAGATGCAACTGTCTCATTTTACAGGTAATGAAACTAAGGCCCAGGGGAAATGCTTGCCCAAGATCACCTAGCTGGCTAGCTAGCAACAATGCAGGTTGAAAAACCAGTAGAGCTATCTTCTCCCTCTCTGCCACTTTGCAAGCAGTACCCGGGGAGCCACTGAACAGCAGCTGGCTTGTGATGACGACAGGTCAGGGTCCCCTGAAGTGGGGACCTAAAATACTGAGTTTAGTGAGACGTGGTATACAGGCATTAGAAATGGTACATGACTAGAAGTTTATATTGTAATAAAAAGAAATAAAACTGGTATATCCAATTGCCGTTTCTACATGTATTTAAACAGTCTTTAAAGGAAAAAAAAATGTGCTTTAATTTAAATAAAGGGAGCTAACTATGAGAAAATATATTAGATGAGTAATAGTGCAAGTGATGGTCAAATATAACAAAACCCGTAAAAGTAGGACGAGAATGGCGAAGCCTTGGAAACCCTGAGCGAGCTACAGCTTGGAGAAAAACGTGGAGGCGACGCTGCTCTGGAGCAGCCTCATTTGTCCACACCAACTCTCCACGCGTCCACTTCCACGTGGGATTTAGATGTGTGGCGAGTGACTCATGCTGTGTAACTGCATTTCCAGTTCTGAGTCTTTTTTAAAATGATTTGCTCCTCATAATTAGATCCTGCCTATGTTGTTCTTCCTTCTTTCCCACGCTGGGGAGCAAAGGCGCCAACTGCTCAGACTGTGCAGTATTCCCATCGCTCTGCTCCAGACATGAGGATCCCATTAGTCACTGTCTTCATCATAAATCTGGACTTAGTCACCAATTATTTCAATTTAGTCACCATAAATGTAAGTATTAGGGTCTGTCTGGCATAAATTTGGCGGGGGAGGATGGGAGGTGGGGAGAGCAAGGCAGAGAGGCAAAGAAATAATCTTTTAAATGCAGCCATATAAAATGCGCACTCCAATAAAAGTTAATGCTGTGCCATGTGTCATTACCTGCCACCCCAAAGGGCCGCCTCAGTCCCTGTGTGCACTTCTTTGTATTGGTATCCTTGAGATCCATCTTCCCAACTCGGATTATTTGACAAATCAAGTAAATTTTATCCCTGTTGAGGTCTTTGTTTCCGAGATCCTGTAGGGCAGGAAATGAACAGTTACATATCAAGCGTCTAATGGAAAAAGGAGAAAAGGAAACCTACTAATAGTAAGTTCTTGGTGATGTGCTTAGCACTTAGCATACATGGACCAATTGTACAATTAGTCCTGGGAAAGGTAGAAAACCGAGCTATCACACCCATTTCACAGAAAAGAAAGGTGAGTTTTGAAAAGGAAACTGAGCAGCAGGATTCCCGTGTTCCATCCCAATTCTTCCTCATCAGTCTGGTAAGAAGAGAAGGACAGAGGTACAATATCCGTTAATATAAGCAAGATTCCCTATATGCCCACTGAAGGATCCAAAAAAATAGCATTTGCTACAAATGACTCCATCCGTTTCATCATTGTTCAGCACTCTGAGGAAGAAGACCAAAGGAAGAGGGAAAAGTTCTAAATAACCATTTACTGAGTACCTAAAGTATCTATAGCATTCGAGGGTGGGTCATGGCCCGAACAACCCCAACATCTCAGAGCATATAACACAACAGACGTTTCCTTCTAGCTCAGGCTACAGGTCCAATGCAGATGGGTGGGGGCTCAACTCCCTTCTTTACTCTGGGCCCCTGGCTGACGGATGATCTCATCACACACGTGCTTCTATGGTCCCCTCAGTAGGGCAAGGAAACATGGCAATTAAAGCTTCCACCCAGAAGAGACACATGTCTCTTCCACTTACATTTAATTGGCCAAAGCAAGGCATGTGACCACGCTAATTTCAAAGGGGACAGGGAAATGCACTCACTGTGTGCTCGAGAGGAGGAACGCTAAAACTGGTGAACTAAGCTAATGTCTCATTCCCATGCTAGTCTCATGTCACAGTTTTATTTGATCCTTGACAACTTTCAGAAGTAGATACTGTTATTGCATCTCCATTTTACAGATGAGGATACTGAGAAACAAGGACAAAGAGAGAAACAGTGGGGCTTCCCCACAGTCATACCCTCAGTCCTTGGAGACATTGTGCAGTCACGCCAACACCAAAGTCCGCAGTATATCTTTCTCATCATCAGAAAGACACGAAGGAGGAAAAACCACGTGGACCACCTCAGCATCTGACTGCCTGCTCAAATCTAAAAGCTTCAGTGTTCCGGGGACCACCATCCAGCTGGGATCAGTTAGAGAAGGAACATCAAGGCATGCTGGCATCGGAGCAGAGAACCCTGGGCGTGGCCTTGCTGGGGAAGAGTTGCTTCTCCGAATTAATCCTCACGCAGGCATATGCCTGGGAACAGCCTGGCGGCTCGCATCAGAGCCACGGATCAGACAAAGCAGCCATCCCCAGCCTCTTACTGCGGCTGATGTGGGAGAAAGAGAACAAAGTTGTACAGAGTCTCTGGAAGAAAGACACGGCCCAAATGTGGTCCACACCTTCCTTCCTGGGGAGCTGTGATAGTTAAATTTTATGTTAACTTTGTTAGGCTATGGTTTCTAGTTGTTTGATCAAACACTAGTCTAGACATTGCTATGAAGATATTTTGTGGGTCCGATTTGCATCTAAAATCAAATGACTTTTTGACTTTTAAAAAAAGGAGATTATCTTCCATAATATACATGGGCCTCATCCTATCAGTTGAAGGTCTTTAAGAGTAAAGAGTGAAGTTTCCCAGAGAAGTAGGAATTCTGCCTCAAGACTGTAGTATAAAAAGCCTGCCTGAGTTTCCAGCCAGCTGACCAGCTCCACAGATTTCAAACTCGCCAGCCCCCACAATCATATGAGCCAAATCCTTAAAATAAACCTATCTATCTGCCCCATATATCCTATCGGTTCTGTTTCTTTGGAGAAACCTGACCGACACAGGACTGTCCTCTCAGTAGCTGGAAGAATGGACATCTGCTTCCCCACTCTCCAAAGCACCTTTGCTGGTAGGCAGGAAGAGAAGGATGGTAGGGGAGGAGGGACTTTCAGAATGAGGAAGACTCTCCACTCATTTGCTTTCCCTGTCTTGCCCTGTAGGCAACTGAGTTTTGAGATCCCAACTATCTCACAGGATGGTTGGACAGCCTCCTCTCTGGCCTGCCTGGCTCCTTCCTCCCACTCACTCTGACCCCCTACAAACTCATCTTTAGAAGCCACATTCACTATTTCATTTCTCCACCCCCAACAATGTCAACAGCTCCCTATTTCCTACCCTATTAGTGCTAATCTTCCCCGGCTGATGTGAAAAGCCTTAGACATAATATATTTCCAGCTGTCCTGTCCAACTGATTCCCCACTATTCTCTGCATGTAAGTACTCTATTTTTGTCACAAAGATTTCTTTATTGCTCCACAAACACACAATATTCACTTTCAACGCTGGATCTTTCTTCCTAAGCCCCCTGTCTGTACCTCCGCCTCAAATGTGTTCTGCTTATTCCTCTGTATATCCAAAGCCTTAAAAGCTCAAGTCTTGCTTCCTTTCAATGACCTTCATCCCTAATTACTTTTCTCTTCCCATTAGTACTTTTCATATTTTTGAAGTATGTAGATTGGTATGTTTCAGGGGCAATTCAGAGCCACAGAGGCCCTGGCACCTGAAAGGTTTCTTCCTAGATATTATAGGCTAACTTATGTTCCCCCCAAATTCATATGTTGGAGTCCTCACCCCTCATTACTCAGAACATGACTATATTTGGAGATAGGACCTTTAAAGAGGTGATTAAGCTAAAATGAGGACATGAGGGTGGCATAAGCCAATATATCCTTATAAGAAGAGGAGATTAGGCCACAGACACACAGAAGGAAGGTCATGTGAAGACAGAGGCAGTAGGAGTCTCCATTGGCAAGCCAAGGAGAGAGGCCTCAGAAGAAACCAACCCTGCAAACTCCTTGATCTTGGACTTCCAGCCTCTAGAACTGTGAGAAAACAAGTTTTGTTGTTTAAGCCATCCTATTTGTGGTACTTTGTAATGGCGGCCCTAGCAAATAATACACTTAGACAACTTAGATAAACCCATAAGGTTCCCAGGTAAGCCCCATTCCGCCCCTCTTCTCTGATAAGATTTCACTCGCTCAAAGGAAGACACCAGATCTCTAAGAGCTGCCTCATCAGAGACCCTTGGCACTAAAGAATCTTAATATGTTACATAAACATAGCAAAATGCCTAAGCACAGGTTATTCTCTGGAGAGTATGTAAATGGGCAACCCTCACTCAGAACTGTCTCCAATGTGTGGTGTCTCTCAATCATATTACTTTGGCCTTATAAAACTCAGATGCGTTGGAGGAGCTGAGGCAGGACAATGAAACTTAAAGCCCATGTCACCTGATTTAATTATTCATTAGCACTCCTCTTACTGTTCAGTCGTGCTTCCCATGTGTTGGCAGCAACCCCCAAACTGGACAAAATCTTAGGGAACCTCATGATATATGCTCTGTCCTCTAACAGGGCCACGGAGGGTGAATGTTTGTCAAGCAGACAGAGGGGAAGTCCACCATTGGTCCGACCCACATGTCAGCTCCTCAGGCTCTGCCCCCAAAGAGGAAACTAAAAAGAGTGAACACCCAGAGACAAGATAAATGAGGCCAGAAAGGCACATGCCTGCCAAGTCTTATCTCATCACTAACTTAAATATCACCTCAGTGCCCAACTGAAAGCAACTCCCAGTCAAACGCCATCAGATCACCCTGTTTTAATTATCCACGTTGCCTAGATTGCCTTTTGACATTTCTCTTTTTTATTTATTCATTTACTTATTTTCTGAATTCTCCCCATCACACCATGAGAGCAGGAGCCTATCAGCTTATTCACTGCCGTATCCCCAGCAACTAGCACAGAGCTTACACACAGTATTCACTAGATAGCCCTTGAATCAATAAAAGAAGCTAGAACAGCATGACCTTCCTTGCCCTGAAATGAAGACTCCCATCATTTCAAGAGAGGGAAGTGTCAGCCTGTTGAACTAGTCACCCAAGGTTCTCAGGTTCATTTGCTGTGGGAAGAAGGGGCGGTGGCACAGGGAGAATTCCATGAAGGCAGGATCCCATTCTCATTAATACCGAGTGACACAAATTTACCGATGCCCTTTCCCGCATGTTTACATCATGAACTGGTTCTCTGCAAAATGAACCACTGATTGATTCCCTGTCCTTCTCCCTCTCATGAAACATCTGTCTCCTGGTTTAATCACAAAGCCCTGTGGGACTCTCCTATTTATCGGGAAAATAAATAGGCTTCTCCTTCTAACTAATAATAGATAAACAGGATTGGACACATTTGTATAAGCCAAGAAAACTTTGTCTAAGCAATTAGGACCTATGGGCTTATTCCTATGGCTCATTTTTTAGAAAATAACAAACAAATCAGCTGCACTTTAGTCTAATTGTGACATAACATAAGACATTGCATTTAACGGGCTGTAACTGGAAAATCACTGTAAAGTGAGGTAGGTTAATATAGCATGTTGGCCACTCCTGGATCAAACCCATCATTTTGGTCAATGCCCAAATCCCTCCCTACCTCCTCCTCTGTAATCTCTCTTGCTCACACAAGCAACACAGTGAAAAATCTCATAAATGCTCTTCTCCTGAAAGGAGTTTGTAGACAACACCAATATCCTTAGGTGTCTTAAGATCACACTCTTGACACAGCCTTGTGGGAACAGGACAAGAGAGGGGTCTCTGCTAGAAATGATAACCTTTATCTCCTTCCCACTCTTTCTCCTTCCCAGAGCTAAAAAGTCTACTCACTCTCAGAAATAAGCTATCCAAATAACAACACATTTCAACATTTCTACACATGTCTTGCCCAGTGAGTACAGGTATTTAGAAGGATGATCCCAGGGACCCAAAACATCGTTAGTCATCTATGACTTAATTATGTTCAGAATATCCAATTTACAAAGGCAGCCAATGTTCTAGGAAGGCCTTTTTTTCTGATATAGTTGAGGAAGCTTTTTAGTTCTGAACCAAAGAAAAGAACTCAGGTTAACCATGAATTACCCAGAAAATCAGCATAGCTGTGGTACCCAGTGCACCTAGATACGATTGCTGGAGGAGGTTTGTACTTGTTTACATAGTGCTCTGCATGTGTTCTGTGTGTGCGAGTGAGTGAGAAAGAGATAGAGAAGGAAGAAGAAAGAGAGAGGAGAAGATCCATCTCCCCAACAGCTTCCGCAGAGCACACAAAGCCCTCCGTTGCGGCTCTGAATCCCTGCAGAAAGCACAGAACAGGGCTCTGCACCGAGGCCACACTGCCTCCTGACCAGTCAACCAGCCTCATTTCCAAGATCATGCCCCTGGGAGTGTGAAGCGTGGTAATGAGAAGACAGCGCACACCCACCGTGAAGACCACCTTCAGGTTGTTGAGCATCTCGACCTCCTTCGGGAAGCCCCTGCTGCCCCATCGCACCAGGTAGTTCTCACTGTGAGAAGAGAAGTGGTAGCCCATTACTGTTGGGGGCTCAACATTCATTTAGTAAAAACACTCACCAAGCCTCTACTGTGTGTCCCACACTATGCTGGCCACTGGGGACACAGTAGTGTTTGAGACAGACATGGTCCCTCCCTCTAAGAGATCGTGTTTCTGTCGGGAAGACAGAGGTTTGACAGCAGGGGCAAAGAATTACTCATATGTGTATT